ACACATTGAATATTGAAGAGAATTTGTGTTTATAAAACAAGCTCAAGAAGTACTTTAAAAATCAACAAGGAGACAGTGGCCATAAATGACACTCTAGACCAAAAGGATTTAACTGATACCTTCAGAGCATTTCACCCCAAAGCAGCAGAATATAAATTCTTTTCAATGCATATGGAACATTTTCTAAGATAGACCACATTAGGACACAAAACAAGTCTCAGTAAATTTAAGAAGGTTGAAATCATTTCAAGCATCTTCTCTGGCTATAATGCTATGAAACTAGAAATCGGTCACAAGAAGAACACTGAAAAATACACAAAGACATGGAAGCTAAATAACATGTTATCATTAAACAATGTTGGCATGGGTCAACGATGAGATCAAGGAAGACATCAAAAGATAGCTTGAAACAAATGAAAATGAGAGCACAACAATCCAAAATCTGTAGGACACAGCAAAAGCAGTTCTAAGAGGGATATTCATAGCATTACAGGCCTATCTCAAGAAACGTCATTGTGGAGCACAGCATGAAGTTATCTCAAAAATTAAAAACAATGAAAAACAGCACTGCCTCATGACCCAGCAATTCCATTTCTGTCAGTTTATCCAAAGAAACCCAAAACACTAATTCAAAAAAATATAAGCACCTCTATGTTCATTGCACCAGTATTTACAATAGCCAAAATCTGGAAGCAGCCCAAGCGTCCATCAGTAGATAAATGGATAAAACAACTATGGCACATATACACAATGGAATACTACTTAGCTGTAAAAAAGAAGAAAACTTTACCCTTTGCAACTGGACAGCATGAATGGACCTGGAGAGCTTTATGCTAAGTGAAATAAGCCAGTCAGAGAAAAACAAGTACCATATGATCTCACTCATATGTGGAATTTAATGAACAAACTGAACTAACAAGCAAAACAGAGACAGACTCATAGATGGAGAGTAGTTGACAGCTCTGCGGGGGGCAGGGGTAAAGAGGTGGAGGGATCTAGCAGAAGAAAAAGAACTCATGGACACCGAGAGTGTGGTGATTGCTGAGGAGACCAGTGTGGCAGGAGGTAGAAGAGGGTATAAGGAGGATAAATGGTGATAGAAAAAAAGACAATTAAAATTTTTTTAAAAAAGAAGCACAGTCATACCTCAGTACTCATAGGCTTCAGACCTTGCCAATCCTGGTACTCACTGCATTTTGGTGAGAAAAAAATGTTTCAGCACTTGGCACTTCCTTGGGACTCATTGCACTTGCTAGAACTTGTGTGAGTCATGACGCCACCCTGAAAGAGAAAATGCTTCCTCACTTGGTACTCAGTGGTTTCGGCACTGGTCAGGAGTTCCAGAAAGAACTAACGATCAACACTGAGGTACCATTGTACTTTATAGAGGCTGTAGTGAATCCTCACAAGCTGGGCCTGCCTGGCGCAGCCACAGTAGCAAGCTTGAAGAGGCGTCGACTGCCAACAACCTTGTACATCCTCAACACCACGCTGATTGTCCATTGGCTCACAGCCTTGCACAGACTCAGTAGCAGGCTGAGGAGGTGGCCAAGCATCACAAGCTCCCTTCTTTTCACACCTCAAACCATATATCTGCTGCATTCTTCCATTCTCTTCCCCCAGCTTTTGAGTGAATGGCCATGAGTGTGGGAGTCCTGTGCGCCAGCTGGAGAGTGGGCACTGGGAGAGCAAATTTCCTGAGTCTGGGGATGTCCCCACCAGCCAGCCTGCATCCCACTCAGGCGCCCTTGGCCCGTTACCCCTGTGTCCAGGCTGGCGACTGTCAAATGTGAGTTTATAAAGAATTTAACTTCAGAGGAAGCCATTCATCACAATACACTTTCCATTATAGGAACTGGATCGGTTGGTGTGGCCTGTGCTATCAGCATCCTGCTTAAAGGCTTGCGTGATGAGCTTGCTTTGGGGGATGCTACAGATGGCAAACTGAAGGGCCAAACAACGGATCTTCAACATGGCAGTCCTTGTGTGAAAATGACAAATATTGTTGCCAGCCAAGGCTACCTTTCACTGCGAACTCCGATCTGGTGATTATCACAGCAGGTGCATGCCAGGAAAAGGGAGAAACCCACCTTAATTTAGTCCAATGAAGTATGGCCATGTTTAAATCCATATCTAATATTATCCAATACAGTCCTCACTGCAAGATGATTGTTTCCAATCCCATGCATATCTTAACTTATGTAGCCTGGAAGTTAAGTAAAACTGCCCCCCAAAAACATGTCATTGGAAGTGGTTATAATCTGGATTCTGCCCTTTTTCCTTTCCTGATTGGGCAAAAGCTTGGTATCCAGTCTGAAAGCTGTCATGGGTAGATCCTTGGAGAGCACGGAGACTCGCGTGTTCCTGTGTGGAGTTAATATTGCTTGTGCCTCTCTGAAGGATCTGAACTCAGATATAGGAACTGATAAAAATCCTGAGCAGTGGGAAAATGTCCACAAAGATGTGATTGCTAGCACCTAAGAGATTATTAAAATGAAAAGTTCTACCCCCTGGGCCATTGGCCTTTCCATAGCTGATTTAAGGGGAAGGATTTGAAGAATCTTAGGAAAAATACATCCAGTTTCCATCATAATTAAGGGTCTCTCTGGAATAAATGAAGAGGTATCTATCCTTCAATGTTCTTTGTATCCTGGGAGAGAATGGTATTACCTTATAAAGGTTAAGCTAATCCCTGAGGAAGAGTACAGAAACATTTCTGTACTCTTCTTAGGAGATTCAGATGTAAGTTTTAGGAGAAAACTTAGGAGATGTAAGTTTTAAAGTTGTTAAAACTACCATTCTGAATTAATGATGACAAGATAGTAGGTATGGGTTGTAAATGTCAAAATTTTGAATAAACTTAAGATTCCTAAAAGTTGGAAACAGGAAGGGGTAGAGTAACTCCCCTGTTTATGTAGCTTCTCAGCTATTTTATTTAGCATTGAGGTTTTTTTTTTCTTCAACAATTCCTAAGTGACCACATCAAAGATGTTTTTGTACCACTGACATACCAGTACTTACTTTGCATTTATATGTAGTTGCCATTTGATCCAAAAGACTGTGGAGTGTAGGTGATTTTTGTGTTGCAGAAACTGATTCTTTTCATGAAGCACATATTAATCCTTTCATTTTGCCTGGTTTATGTACTATTTCATTTATTTATACAATATTTTTTAAAAGTTGTAACTTTCTCTACAGTATAAAAATAAATGTACAGAAGTACTTTCTAAAGAAAGTTTAATTTATTTCTTAAGAAGGGGGACAAAGCAGTTCACAATGCCTCTTACAGCCCCTCCCCACTTTTTTCTTTCTCTTCCTTTAGCCAAACTTAAAGAGAATAGAAGGGGATGGAGGGAGCTTTGGGGGGGTTTCTCCATGTAAGTGAAGTATATTACCTCTATTTTTCCCCCACTCCTTGCCTCTGATAAGAGTAGAGACTAATTATCATAGTCATCAGGTCTAATTATCATAGTCATCAGGTGACCTAGAATCAAAGACAGACCTCAGACACAAATCCTCTGCTTTTACATAGGTGAAAATTGAGGCCTAAAGAGGTTAAGTGATTTGGTCAGTTAAAAAAAATAATACATATTCTACCCAGCAAAGCTATCATTTAGAATCCAAGGACATACAAATTGCTTCTGAGGCAAGAAAAAGCTAAAGTAGTTCATCATCACCAAACCAGTATTACATGAAATGTTAGAGGGTCAAGAAGGAGAAAGACAGCAATAAAAAATATGAACAATAAAATGGCAATAAATACATATCTATAAAAATTGAATTAAAAAAAACAAACAAGCGGTAGAACAGAAATAGTCTCATACATACAGAGAACATTTTGATAGTTGCCAGATGGGAGTGGGGTTTGGGGGTTGGGTGAAAAAAGGTGAAGGTATTAAAAAGTACAGATTGGTAGTAACAGAATAGTCTAGGGGACGTATAGTACAGCATAGGGAATACAGTCAAGGATATTCTAATAACTATGTATGGTGTGAGATGGGTATGAGACTTATTGGAATGATCACTTATTAAGTTATATAATCCCAAATCACTGGGGTGTGCACCTAGAACTAATAATATTGTATATCAACTGTAATTGAAAAATAAAAATTTAAAAAATAACACATAGAACAAGAACTCTGATGCCAAGTTACCTATTGATGCAGTTATACTCTAGTTTTAAACTAATATTTGACAGTAGAGGGTTGATTCAATACAGTGTGAAATTTGCATAGCACAGGACACTGTTGTTCAAGGTATACAGGTAAGAAGACTGGAAAAACAGAGAGAACATTTGATTAGCTGTTTAACCAGCTTGGAATAGTGGAAATTACAGCGGGAAAGGACAGCTGGAAAGGACAACTGGGGTCATATCGTGGAGTACAAGTATCTGTCAAGTGCTTCGACTCCAGGCCAAACAGCTTTCGTGCCAATGATTTTTAAACATGGTTGTGACTTGATCGAAATTGTTTTTTAGGGCAAGACCGTCATGAACATGGAGGGAGATAGAAGAAGGAAGAGCCTGAGGTTCAAAAAAGACCATAAGGCAACTGCCTAAGTAAGGCTATCCACTCGGTGTGGGGCAGAGGTTTGGGAAAGATACTAAGCTTCTCCCAAAGTTCCTGCTGGAGCTTTACATCTTTGAGAATTAGGACGGGTGATTTTTGGTGCAGCGTGCGTGAAGCGTTGGGGATGGGAACAGGATATTCAATAACATATTTACATTATGGTTCTGCGGAGAAAAACAAAACTCGGGTTCGGGGCGGGGCGGGGGGCGGGGGTGGGAACGCCACAGCAAGCAGCGGGAGGCCATCTGCACCAAACCCGCAGCCCGCATTGCCTACATTATAGGGCTCAGTCCCGCCGCCTACAGGTCGCCTAGTTAAGCGAGGGCCAGGCAATTGCCCTTTCCCAGACCCCGCCCCTCCGGCCGCGCGCCTGCGCTTTCCCGTCCCGCCCCCCCCCCCAGCACCCCCGCCCGCGTGGTCGCAGCCACCGCAGCCGCCCAAGAGGAGCTGGGGGAGGACGGTGGCCTGCGAGGCTCGCCGCAGACAACGCGGCGGCGATGTCCGCGAGTCAGGCGGGTGCCGCGGCGGCAGCGGCGGGGCCTCGCGCGCGGCTGGGCGGCCTGGGGTTCGGCCTCCCTTCGGTTCCTAGGAAGCGCGCCGGCGGCCAGCTCGGGAGCAGCGGCAGCAGAGGCGAAGGCTGCGGCGCGTCTCTCTCCTCCCTGTCAGCCTAAGCCAGGGGAGGCCAGGCGACCGGGTGGCTGGAGGGGGGTCCGCTGCCCGAGAATGGGAATTCTCTTCACCAGGATATGGAGACTGTTCAATCACCAGGGTGAGGGGCTCGGGCTGAGGGCGTAGGGTGGGGGAGAGGGTCACCCCTGGCTGGGTGAGTCGGGGTCTCTAAATACTTCCGGAGCGTGGGCGGTGCGGTCGCGCGCGGTCTCTGCGCTGGGTGCGGGCAGCTGGCGTGCGGGCCTGGGTTGTTCAGTCCCACTCGCGGCTCGGGCATGGTTCCCGACTCTCAGCCTTTTGTCTTAGGGGACCTTCCCGAGAAATCTATCCCTCAAATACACCCATTGCTCCGATTTCGGTTAGGGATGGAAAAGATTTCTTGTCTGACGTCCCGGGGTGGCACAGCCTAGCCTTTTAATCCCTCTTCCTCCAGCAGTTGGGTTTGCACACCGTGAAGAAAGTGTGGGGTTGTCTGGGATGAAGGTTGTAGGTTTTTAGCTTAGCCGCACCACTGAGCGACCGAGGGGGGCAGAATGCGGAAAACACAAGGAATCGCTCTTCACTGGCCCAGTACAGCTCAGGTTGTGAACTTTGACTGCACCTCTACCCCTCTTTGGGAACACTCTCCTGCATCCTGAATCGTGACGGACGTCTTTGCTGTATTTATTTATATCCATCTGTGTTTAAGGTTAAGCTTGAGGTCATTTTTCTACTTGTGTATTTAAGGGGTTTTTTGTTTGTTTTTGGTTGGGTTAAGTGTTTCGCATAAAGCATTTGAAAACCATATCACGTGAAACATTTGTTAACCGTGGGTAACTAGCAAGTTACCAAGTATAGAGTGTATTATTGTGTAGAGATGCTTAAGTTCATCTAAACTCAAATATTGTCTTGAAATGAGTATCAGGTTTATTAAAATTCATTACAAAATGAGTGTATAAAACTGGGGAAAAGATAAAATTTTAACAAAAAGCCTCCATAGTCATTAAGATACAATATAGTTAGTGGTGTGCTTTGTTTCTTAACTCAAGTGATTTCACCATTCCTGCTGCAATGCAATAACTTAGTTTGCATTTTTCTCTTGTGTAAGCTGGTAGTGGTGTCACATCCCAAAGTTTTCCAATAAAGATTTAATGAATGGTGGCATTTGTTATGTACAACCACTAACCCCACCTCCTCCTTCATGATTCAGCTTCACCTATGTTAGACTGTGACAGGAAGGTAGTGGAACTTGAATTTGTGATCACTAGTGCATCTTCTTCAAAAATAAAGATGATAGGGTAGATCATATGATACTAAATGGAAGAGTAGTATTTCGTTATTTTTCTGATGTGGAGATTTTTCATAGAGTAGAGAGAACCAGTTCTAATCTTCCCAGTCTCTGGCTAGGAACCAGCTGGTCACTTAACCTCTCTGGGTCTAGGCGTTCTCACCTAGAACACCAGGGATTTTGACTATGTGACTGTGGAGCCTACAAATCTTGAAAACTTAATCTCTAGGTTTCAGGTATTGAAATTTACATTGCCATAAAATCAGTGGTGCTTATAGTAGATAACATCTATTCTAGTTTTAACATCCATAATTTTATATTGTTTTAAAAATGAAACGTTTCGACACTATGAAATTTAGAGTTTGCTTGTCAGTTGACTCTAGTACTGCAAATTAGATATTTCTACTTTCTGTTTTGAGTCAGTGATAAAATTATTTGTCTTTGTAACTAAAGAATGAATTAGAGCTTTGCCAACAGCTACTTGCCGATAGTAAAAAAAAATAAGGATGTGTGCATTGTTACCACCAAAAATCTACTAATACAGTGCTCTTATTACCTGTATTTTGTGATAATTTTTACTGGACATTTATTTCAGTGCTGGGAAATTAATAGTAAGAGGAATTAATGAAGTTAAGTTCTAGAAATTTAGATGTCGACATTGTGAAAATGTGAATAAAACTCTTTCTCTTCCGCTACATGATGTAGTTGTGTTAACAGTAGGGTCACTTTTCAAAATATTCACTGTTAAATCTAATGTCAGATGCTTGTTGGTCTTTTTGGTTCTTTATTAAATTGGATATATGTACGTTAGATATATCTTGGATGCTTTATTTTACCTTCCGAAGACACAGAACACCATTCTATATTCTTTACACATAAACTCTTGGAAGGATGATTTGAGGGCTCTGCCAGGCTGGTGAAGCTTAATCTATACCATATCTCTTTTTTCTGAAACCCCTTTAGAACAATTTTCTCATTTTAAACTTAAGATCAGTTGAATGCATAATGAAAGCTAATTGTGTACTCTCCACACTCGAAAAACCAGAGTTTGCATTTAGATAATATGTATTTAAATAGAGTACAACCTTTGTTGCAGATGCTGTTGTATGCATCACTTTAAATAAAAAAGTTACAACAGTCCTTTGAAGGAGTTACTCTTTTCCACTAAAAAGAGGAAACTGAGGTTCCAATGGAGTGATTTCCCTGAGCCATGCAGCTGGTAAATGCCAGATCCAGGCAAGTTAAAACACTAAAGAAATATGTTGCTGACACTTTCTTCTACAAGAAGAGATTGGTATCATTTCTTCTTTTTCCCCGTTAACCATTTTGGAGTTACTATACTATAAGTCTTTAAGACTGTATTTTAGAATAAAAGGGCATGTGATCATTGGTTGGTTCGTTTATTAAGTGAATATTTTTGAGCACCCTTTTAGTGTCAGGAACTATTGTAGGTGGTGTGCGTAAACAGGGAACCGAACAGAAAAACCTCCTCCCTTTATGGAGCATTCATTCTTGTTTGGGAAGACAGAAAGTAAGCTAACGTCATCTCTATAGAGAAAATAATAGCAGTTAACATTTGCTGATTTGTACAAGATTAGGTTGTAAATGCTGTACACAAATTAGTTGATTTAGTCTTAATTGATTTACTCTTCACAACAACTCTATGAGGTAGGTACTCTCTCACCATTTTATAAAGGCCAATAAACATTAGGTAACTTGTTTGCTTAAGGTATGACAATTAAAAGTGATAGACCTAGGATTTTACATCTAGTGCCTGAGTTACTGCTCTCCAAAAACAAAAACAAAAAATACCAAAAAACCACAACTTTCTTTGTATATGAAGAGTTCATGTTAGATAAAAGGAAGAACTTTAACATGAACTATGAAAGAAGTTGTGAAATTTTTCCCATTGACAATCTTGTATCATTTTCTGATTGGTTCTTAGAAGAGAAGTAAGTAGTAAATAAGTTCTGGAGAAAGGGCATGTGCTTCCGGAGCCTGGTGCTGGGAAAGTCACCTCTGCCTTTTTTTTTTTTTTTTTAATTGATTTCTTTTTATTGTATGGGAGTTTAAACGTATGGAAGAGCACATACAGAAACTGAGTAGCCAAAGAGGTGGACTGTGCTAGTTAATAGATGTTTTAGCACCACACTCACTCTTTGTACATGCTCTGGTTATGGAGCTGGGTCCTTAAAATACTTCAATTTTGCCAGCTGACAGAACGTTGAGCTTTGTCAGAGGACAGTTGGCGGGGGGGGGGGGGGGGGGGGGCACCCTGCAGAAGGAAAGCTTTTTTCTTCCTGGTTTAAGTGTGCTCTCAGCAGGATCTGTCCTCTTGCAGTGAACACCTTCTTCGGTGGCTGATCCTTGCTCTGCATAGTGGTCAGTAGCAGCCAGCGGCTTCCCAAAGCACCCACTTCATTTGATTTCAGAATGGTGACCCTCCAGCAAAATAACTCTCAATGCACAGCTTTCCCCAGCACCCTAGAAGGGGTGGATTTTCTGCACGGTCCACTGGCAAGTCTGCACAGCTGCTGCTCTGACATTTAGTGAGCCGTAGCCAGGCCCTGTGGCAAAGTGTACATCTCAGTCCTGGGGAGTTGGAGGAAGCTCTGTGTCAGCCCTAGGGGTAGTTAATGCTCCATGTATTTGTTGTTCCTGTCATCTTCAAAGTTACTTCTTATTAGCTAATCCTTAAATACTCCAACCCCTGTAATAGTTATTTAAATTAAACTTTGTGAGTTCAAATTGTGTGATTTCTGTTCTCTGATTTTGCCATGTATAGTTGCTTTTCATTCAGCAACTTCCACGTGCAAAACAGATGTTGGGTTTTTATCTTGAAACTTTACTACCTTTCCTATAAATAGCAAGTTTATCTTCAAACTTTGTTTTTTATTGATGATACTTTTATATTTAAAAATGGATTTTTTTAATTCAGGTCTGGCACAATGCCCCTTCTTTATTACATAAAAATCTTTTATTACAAAATCATAAGCATGTAATTCTATAACATAACAATATCACATTCAAGCATGCCATATGACATTTTAGGTGAAATGTTCAAATTGCTGTTCACCTCGTGCAAGACATTCATGTACCCTGTTAACCTCACTCTGTGATGGTACTTCCGCCGGACCCGGTACATAATGACTTCATCAGTTATCTCCCTTCTAATCTTCGTATTTTCTAGATTTATTTATGCATTCATACTGTATTATGCACATGCTTTATTCTAGACACTGCAATAGCCTGGGAGAACTATAGCGAATGTGACAAAAGTGGATTTTTTGCTGTGTGTGAGAATTAATAAAACTTAGTCATAGTTTGGATAAGAGGTGAGAATGAAGAATCAGGATGACTCTCAACTTATTTGCCTAAGTATTTGTGCCTCCAGGATGTCAGTGATTTTTGTTTGTTTGCTTAATTTACTGACTAGTAGTTGGAAGGATAAATATTGACTCTTAGAAACTAGCAGTAAATGGAACTTGTAGGCTGCCTGGGTGTATGAAATGGAAATAAGTGAAACTAAAAGTATTTTCATGACAAAAACAGTAAAGTATTGATTAGGAAACTAAAGCCTAATCAAAACTCTAAATTCCATCCAAGGATTGTAACAGTCTATAGTTAATTGGCTTGTATGAGCAACTGGTAGAATGCCATGGCACAGATATTCTAAAAGAAAAATCATGCTAAGAGGTAAACTTGTAATGAATCATGTGTATCAAAGAATTGGAATAGCCAAAAAAATTTATTACATTTGCCCTTAATAACAATATGCATATTGTATTTTAGGTTCTGTGGGGTATTTGTTCTAAAGTACATTATAATACTTTTTGGCTACAAATTTATGTTTTGCATAAAATACTGTTCTTTCTTGGTAATATGTGGAATGGGCTGGGGTGGTAGAAAAGCCTAAGGAAGGTTAAAAAAATTTTTTTGATTTACTCCTGGCTGGTGTAGCTCAGGTGGTTCGAGCATTGTCCCATAGACTGAAAGGTCACGAGTTCGATTCCTAGTCAGGACACCTGCCTATGTTGTGGGTTCAGTCCCCAGTTGGGGCATGTAGGAGAAGGCAGCCAATCAGTGTTTCTCACTCTCTCTCCCCCTCCCCACTCCCTTCCTTTCCCCTTTCTTCATCTCTCTCTAAAAGAAATGAAAAAATGTCCTCTGCTGAGGATTTTTTTTTTAAGTTGACTTAAACATACTTTGTTTTATTGTGCTTTGCAGATTAACTGTTTTTTTTTACAAATTGAAGGCTTGTGACAACAACCTTGTGTTAAGCTATTGGTGCCATTTTTCCAACAGCATTTTCTCATTTTTTGTCTCTGGGTCACATTTTGGTGATTCTCGCAATACTTCAATGCTTTTTATTATTTTATTTGTTACGGTGATCTATGATCAGTGATCTTTGATGTTACTATTGTAATTATTTTGGGATGCAATGAACAGTGCCCGTCCTATAAGACAACAAACTCAATAAATGTTGTTCATGTTTTGACTGCTTTACCTGCTGGCCGTTCCCTCATCTCCATCTCCTCCAACCTCCCTAGTCCCTGAGACAATAATATTGAAATTAGGCCAGTTAATAACCCTACAATGGCCTCTACGTGTTCAAGTGAAAGGAAGAGTTGCACATCTCTCAGTTTAAATTAAAAGCTAGAAATGATTAAGCCTTCTGAGGAAGGCATGTTGAAAGCTGAGAAAGGCCCAAAGCTAGACCTTCTGCACCAGTCAGCCAAACTGTGAATGCAAATGGAAAATTCTTAAAAGAAATTAAAAGTGCTACTCTACTGAATACATGAATAAGGAAGTGGCAGAGCCTTATTGCCAATACGGAGAAAGTTTTAGTTGTCTGGATACTTCAAATCACCCACAGCATTCCCTTAAGCCAGAGCAAAGCCCTAACTCCCTTAAATTCTATATGAATTGAAGGGTGAGAGGTGAGGAAGCTGTAGAAGGAAAGCTTTAAGCTAGCGGAGGTTAGTTCATGAGATTTAAGGGAAGAAGCAGTTTCCATAACAGAAGTTAAAGGTGAAGTAGCAAGTACTAATGTCAAAGCTGTAGCAAGTTACCCGGAAGAACTAGGTTAGTTAATTAATGAAGATGGCTACAGTAAACAACAGATTTTCAATGTTGATGAAGCAGCCTTATATTTAAAAAGGATACCATTTAGGACTTTCAATAGCTAGAGAGAAGTCCATGCCTGGCTTTAAAGTTTCAAAGGACAGGCAGACTCTTGTTGGGGGCTAATGCAGCTGGTGACTTTCAGTTGAAGCCAGTGTTCATTTACCATTTCAAAGTCCTAGAACCCTTAAGAATTTTGCTAAATCTACTCTACTTCTTCCCTATAAACAACATGGTTTACTGAATATTTTAATCCTACTGGTGAGACCTACTGCTTTGAAAAGATTCCTTTCAAAATATTAGTGCTCACTGCAGCTTGTCACCCAAGAGCTTTGATGGAGATGTACAATGAGATAAATGTTGTTTTCTTGCCTGCTAACAAATTTCATTCTGTGGCCCATGGGTCAAGGACTAATTTCCACTTTCAAGTCTTACTTACGAAATACAGCTTGCAAGGTTATAGTTGCCACAGATAGTGATGTCTCTGGTGCATTTGGGCAAAGTAAGTTGAAAACTTTCTGGAAAGGATTCACCATTCAAGATGCCATTGAGAACATTTGTGGTTAATTGGAAGAGGCCAAAATACCACCATTTACAGGATTTGGAAGAAGTTTATTCCAACACTCATGGATGACTTTGAGGAGTTCAAGACTTCAGTGGAGGAAGTAACTGCAAATGTGGTGGAAACAGAGAACTAGAATTACAAGTGGAGCTAAAGGTGTGACTGAATTGCTGCAACCTCATAAATAATGGATGAAGAGTTGTTTCTTATGGATGAACAAAGAACGTGGGTTCTTGAGACAGAAGCTACTGGTAAAGATGCTGTGGAGAATATTGAAATGATAACAAAGGATTTAGAGTATTATCTGAATGTAGCTGATAAAATTGAGACAGGGTTTGAGGGGATTGACTCTAATTTTGAAAGAAGTTCTGTGGGTAAAGTGCTATCAAAAAGCATCGTATACTGCAAAGAAATTGTTCATGAAAGGAAGAGTCGATCCATGTGGCAAACTTTGTTATTGTCTTATTTTAAGAAATTGCCACAGCCACCCCAACCGTCAGCAACCACCGCCTTGATCAGTCAGCAGCCACCAACATCAAGGCAAGCAAAAAGATTACTACTCTCTGAAGGCTCAGATGATGGTTAGTATTTTTTAGCAGTAAAGTATTTTTTAATGTACATTGTTTTTTAAGACATAATTCTATTGTACACTTAATAGACTACAGTATAGTATAAACATAGCTTTTATATACACCGGGAAATTAAAAATTTGTGTGACTCACTTTATTGTAATATTCGCTTTATTGCAGTGGTCTGGAACAGAACATGCAATATTTTGAGGTATGCTTATATTAAAAAGTGTGAATAATCTAACCGTGTTTTGGGGAATAAACTGGCTTTTTAACATTGAGTTGGCATCTCTATCTTTGAGCCCATTCCACAATTATGTCTTAATTTGATAGTTTTCACTGTGTCCTACATGTTATATCTTAAAATTAGGAAGCTGTTCAAAACAGCCATTCATGCTTTATTGTAAAAACACATGAAAACTCAAATGGAGACAGGTCTCGAGAGGGAATGAATAAAGTTGGTAATGAATGTGGCTTGTAGGTGTTGAGGTGAGATGAAGAGATTGAAGATCTCTGGATTCCTCATTGGAATGTCCTTCAGAGAGATTTCAGGCTGCTCCACTGAAGCAGGTGGGGAAGGTGAGACTAATGACACACTTCTGCTAGTCTTGCCAGGATGTTCTTTTGAGTTCCAAGAAGGTTAAAGTGCCATGCACTGAGTTATGCCATTGCTGGAAAGAATGGATGAAACAATATTTAAAAATTTTGTTTTTAATTAATAAATTATTGGTGTTTTATTTCAGAGCACAAAGTTATCATTGTTGGACTGGATAATGCAGGGAAAACCACCATCCTTTACCAATTGTAAGTATTAACTGCTTTAACATTTTTATTTTATTGTTTTGTAGTTACTTTTTCTGTCTTGGTGATATTTGATTAATGAAAGCAATAAAAAAATTATATGGAATCTAAGTTAGTCTAAAAAGGCAGGTTGGCCATAAACCAGCTAATTTAAGCAACTGTTTCTAAAGAGTTGACATATATAAGACATTGAGCATGTTTTTCAAATGTTTTGCTTGTAGGAAGTAGAGAAATACGTGTTTATATAGTTTTCTGGAATGAATCTAGAGTATTGCAGATAGTCCACTTCCTAGTTCCACCTCAGTTTAAACCCTTAGCTCACTCTTAGGAGCTACTGGAAGAGGAATTGCAGTATAATGTATCTTGGGTTGGCCAAGAAGTTTGTTTAGTTTTTTTCTGTACAGTGGCTGTGGTAGTGCTTAGTTGTCTTTAACTTTATTTGTAACGACTTTTTTTAGATTGTATGGTGACAGCTCTCATATCAACATGCATTAAAAAAAACTTATCAAAATTGGTGAATTTTTGTGCAGCCATTTTAATATTGAAGATGGAATAAAATACACATTTTCAGTATATTATGCTTTATTATTTCAAGAAAAGTAAAAACACAACTGAATTGCAAAAAAAAAAAAAGATTTGTGCAATGTATGGAGAAGGTGCTGTGACCAACTGAACGTATCAGAAGTTGTTTGCAAAGTTTCTTGGTACTATTGACATTTTGGCAAAGTAATTCTTTGCTGTGGGGCCGTCTTATGCATTAGAAGATGTTTAGCAGCACCCCTGGCCTCTACCCACTAGAAGCCAATAGCGGAAGATAACCAACTACTCAAAATATCCAAATCATAAAGTTATTGGTGACAATGAAAAATGTATCTTTTATTTTATAGAAAAAACATAATGGACTTTTTGTCTAGCCCAAAGAAGGTCGTGCTGATTTATCCCTTGATTGAAAAATATTCAAATAATCAACTTCCTTGCTAATTGTGTTTATATTTGAACTTTTAATTGTAAATATATTTGAACTTTGTTTTTCCAGTTCTATGAATGAAGTTGTACATACATCCCCTACAATAGGAAGTAATGTAGAAGAGATAGTGATTAATAATACACGATTCCTAATGTGGGATATTGGTGGCCAAGAATCTCTCCGTTCTTCCTGGAACACTTACTATACTAACACAGAGGTAATCTTTCTTAATATACTAGAACTTCTTTGAGCAGAATGCTTGGGAAACACCTTCTAGATAGGAACTCTTAGAGTTAATTTTTTGGAATATCACAGTGTCTTAATGTAAGTGGAGTTTAAATATAGTGGTATCTTTGATTCCCTGTTTTGGGTCATTGTTCTATATATCCATTCTCATTGAATCTTTGCAGGGAGAATTGGTGATTGGTTGATTGGTCTGCGTGTGTATTGATCCCAGGACTTATCTTAAGTAGTTGTTTATATAATGAAGTCCATCTCACAGTTTGTAATTTCATTTCTTTTTTACTATTTATTTTTGTGTTTCAATCCTGACCAAAATTTTACTATGTATTTTCTTTAATGCAACACAATTGCTTATTAAACAATTTTTTTCTTTTGGTTATAATGCAGTGTAGACAAAACTATGTTTTTATTTATAAGTGCTATTTCCCAAGAGGAAATTTCAGACTGAGGACACTTTGGACCTTCATTGTATAGGCCTTGTAAATTGAAAGGCTGTGGCAGTTGTTTTTATACTGTTGATTATAAGTTAATAAAACTCCGAATGTATAAAAAGGCGAATATTGTCATTAAGACACAGTTAGTGACAACTAATGACCTGATCCCCTAACAGTCCATAACACATTTGGTCATGTTTTGGAGAGAAAGAAAGGTAGATATGGTTACCATTCCTAAATATAACACTGCAGGTATCAAATTCATGGCAACACTTTGAAAATTAATAGCTTTATTATATAAAATACCTTGGAGTAGAATGAGTCTTGCAGTAATAAAACCACATATCAGTAAGATGTCAAGTGAATGAAGAGGTAAAATAGTAGTTCTCTTATCCATCTACCTTATGGTTCATAACATCTGAAGAATAGAAAAGACTCTGAAAATTACAGTGATATATTCAGAAATGAAAAACTAGTTCTAAAAAAATAAATAGTGCATGTTAATAATAGGCAGTCAGAATTAACCTGGGCATCACACATGCCATCATAAAGTGTATCTGCTCCTGTTTGCCTTTTGGTGGGCATGAAGTTGAGGAAAGGGTACAGTGTAGCTCAGTCCTGTACAGCTCCTTTACAAGTCTTTCATTGCATTTTCTGATACCAGGATACCAGTCTTACCATCAGTTCAGGAAAGAGTTGTGCTTTCCAGTAGCAGGTGCCATTTATATATAAGGAAGGAAAGGCTTTACATATAGAGTTACTCTTGCAATTTGTTGATTTTTAAAAATTAATTTAACAGTCATGTTACTGTAGTCCCATACCCATACCCTTTTAGATTTCCAAATTGATAGTAATACATATTATCTTATCTAGAGGTAACTTAAAATTTAGGTATTTTTTCTTACTGACTTATAGTGTAAATATAGAGGATTATCATTGGAAATGAGATTTTAAAGTCTCACAGACACACATTAAGTCTTGATGTTAACTCATTTATTAGATTAATATGGATATGGTCCTTTTATATATTTTATATACTGGTTAAAATATTAGAAGAATATTCTAATAGAATGTTAGCATGTATTCTCTTTTTCTCCTGTGTTTCTCTGAAAATTTAGAAAATATATTTGAATTGGAAATTGATCAGACCTTTAGGCTTCATGATGTATGTAGTAGGTACCTCTGGTTTTCTACTAATACCATACCATAAGGTTCTAATTTATTGATAGCACTTTATAAATTCTACAAATATCAAATTATATAATCACTAATGATTTTTTTTTGTAATTATTTTAGTTTGTAATAGTTGTTGTGGACAGTACAGACAGAGAAAGGATTTCTGTAACTAGAGAAGAACTCTATAAAATGTTAGCCCATGAGGTAAGTAGGATTCTGGCAAAAGGTGTATTTGTGGGATATTTCTATCACATTTCTTCTTTCTACCTTCTCATGAGGATACTCTTTCATATTTTTAAACTATTTCTGCTTGCCATGCCTGCTTTATAATTTGACACCTTTCAAATTGAAATTTATCTGGAAGCAGCAGAAAGATTGTGGAATCATTCATCAAATTTTAGTTCATGTATCTCAGGTAAATTTAGTGTAGAAATTGTCCTTAGCAAAAATACCTAAATTGGCTTTTTAAAAACATTTTGAATAGATTAATTATGTAGAGGGTTATCACTGGAAATGAGATTTTAAAGTCTCACAGACACACAGCAAGTCTTGACTATAACTCAGTTACTAGGCTAATATTTAAATATTGTTGCTTTTAGGTTCCTCTGATACTGTCTTTTGACTAAACAAACCTATATGACAATCCACATTTTCTTAGTCCTTGATAAATATTACTGATAGCATAATTTAAAAATGGAATAAAATGAATAATATAGTCAATATGATATTAGTAACTATAAAATTATATAATACATACTATAGTGGCAATTGATTATATTTTTATGCTTTTTATTCCAAATGTAATAAACTAAATTATAGGTGGAAATAGAAAATGAATATTTAGATGTATATTATATATTTTTTATTTTAGTAGAATTTTAATAAAGTTTAAGAAAATAGGGATATCTTTGTAATAAAGTTATAGTTTAATATTAATTTGATGATTTACTTTTGAGAATCGCATTAAGAATTTTGGTATGTTTCAGGCAACTGTTCAAGACTTAAGGAAAGCTAATAAAGTGGTTATATAAATTGAAGTTCCTGTTTTCCTTTTGGTGATCATGCCCACCAAGATGCACTTTCCCTTTTTGAACTGATTCTTAAACCCCTTTGAGGGAATCGTTAAAAAATACATTGTGGCATTATGCATGCATTTAACAAGTTGCTATTATAGTTTGGGAAACAAGCTATGAAAAAGGCACAAAGCTAAGGATTTTTTTCATTTCTGCTTTGTACTTTACAAAAATGCAACATTTTTTCAGTTTATACCAAAGGGTGGTTTTGTGGTGTTCTCTGAAGACTTTGGAAAAAGAAAATTAAGACACACATATTTGTCTCACGTATATTTTTTTACTCTGTTAGCAGATAGCCTCCCTATTTGATTCTTACTCTAATTGTCCAATATGTAGCATGATCAGTGTATAAAGTAGCTGGTCTCAAAGTCACTGAATTTTACCTGCTGCGGGCATTAACTTGGGCAGGTCAATAAAATGCACCTGTTATGGATGAGTATACTGAAGCCCAGAGGTTTATGTGACTTTACCAGCTTTTTAAAAGCCAGATTTGAATTGAGGCGTTCTTATCATTCTGGATCCTTGACAGGGATGGGTGGGAGGTGGGGTCAGTGTAGGGGGACAACTCCAACGATAAATAGGGCCTGGTTGGAAAGTGAAAGGAAACTGAATGAGGAGATTCCTGAGAGGAAAGGAATTACAAATGAAGGTGGGAACTACAGTAGGTCACAAAAAAGGGTCAAGAAGAGCCAAATAGAGTTCTGGAGGGAAACAAATAGACCAAAGAACAAGAATGTATTAATGACAAACAAATTTTGACATGGAGTCAGTCAGATGTTTTGTGTATACCACAATACCAACAAAATCTTATCATCACTGATGATTCTCTAAAAGTATTACTAACTACAAAACTCTAAAATGTTTGTAAGTATTAATGGAAGCTTCATCTTAAATGAAGTACAAAACTTTGGAGCTCATGAATTTTAAAATAATTCCAAACATAAAAGAACAGATGAAATTTTGTTCAGAATGACTCAACTTCTAAGAATTACCTTCACAAATGTAGTTTTGAGGAACAAATTGACAACTACATATGGCATATAGAAGATGCTAAGTAAATATATCTTGCATGTGCTATTATTCATCTTCTTGACTAAACTAAAATATAATTTTAAACTCTTAAGACCAGAAACCTGTAATAAGTAGCAGAAAGTTTTTCCAAGTGTTTAAAATGGCTGATGTACAAAAGATCACCACTGTTCACCTTGAACTTTGACCTCTTGTTAAATTAGGTTGATGAACTGCCTTTATGCAATATAACTTTTTTTTTTACTATTATCATAATGCCTAATTGGTTCCAAGGTATTGAATAAAAAGTAAAGAACTCTTTTGTTTCCTCTGTTCTGAAATAGTTAAAAATAGGTAAAATGTCTGTTTTCTTTTTTAATCAAAAACCCCAATAAAAAAGTTAGAGCCTATGAGGTCTAGAAAGATTATATTCAATATGGGGGAGAGGGAGTTGGAAACCTTTCAATAAAAAGCTATTTCTTACACTTTTCAAATTGTAGTCCAGAGGCTGGCTTCTTTAAATAATTTAATCACTAAAAGTGAGGAATATAGATATTTATAAATAAGATAGAATAACTTAATGTTTCCCAACTTGTGCCAAGTATTTCTGTTGTTGAAATTTTGTTCTTTAAATGTGCCAGCATTAGCAATCCTGACCTATATAAAAGATTTCAACAGACACTGTCAAGAGATATTGAAACCTGGAAGATAAGAAGAGAGGAATTAAATCCATGGAAAGTCTACCTACTCAGTGATTAGGCCACATATCAACTATTAATACTGTTCCATCTCTGCTTAGGATAAGAGAAAAAAATGCCTATATCCTCATCCTTAATAATTTGAATACACACACACACACACACACACACACGTTACAGCCCATCCGTTCAGATATTTGCCTTTTATATAAATAGGTAAACTGAACTATAGGTGAAACAAATTGAATGTGAAATCTTAAAAGCATTCTAGAGCTGTGATACTCAACCTTTTTCATCTCATGGCACACAAAGTAACTACTAAAATTCTGTAGCACAGCAAAAAACACATTTTATGCCGATCTGACAAAAAAATATATAGGTGTGATTTTGACTCATTCACACCAGATGGCTATTGTTGTGTTGTCTGTTGTCATTTTTTAAATTTGGCAACCCAAGGGAAAAGAGGTCAGTGCCCTTGACTAAATAATCAGGTACTGCATGTTGCAAATTCTTGCGGCACACCATTGGGCCTCTTGCTGCACACAAGTTTAAAATTGGCTGTTGTAAAGTAGTTTTCCCTGATTGTGCTATTCAGGCAGCTCCCATGAACTGTAGCACCATAGCTGCTGTCCTGCAGAGGGCACTGTAACTGAAAGTCAGTCTCCATTGTTACAAGAAACTTGTTACCTAGTCTTTTTACCACTCATATTGTTTTTTTGCATCAGAAGGAATCAAAGAAGTCAATGAAAGTTTTACCAAGTAAAATAATGTGAAGCAATGTCAGTTTGTGCTTACTGAAGACTTTTCTGCCTCAAGCACATATGCACATGGTTGAAACCAAAGTATCCCACTAAAATCTCTAAGAAGAAGAAAGGTGGCATTCAACACAGTTGAGAAAACTTGCAAGCATAGCACCAAAACCACAATGTCTCAATATATAAATATGAAGAATTTCATGAAAGTGTAATCCACTGAGTATATCTGTCATGGATTCTTAGCTCATGATCTATGAATGGACTTTAGGTTGTCTTTGCATATATAGATATGTGCACTTTTATGAGGAAAAGATCTATAACTTTCAGTAGATTATCGGGGAAGTTCCTGACTGTAAAATGGTTGGGGGAGGGGAGAGGGTAATAGAGTCAAAGGAGACTAAGACCCTTGGTCTGTGTTCTGAATAAAATATACTGGTCATTTTGGGCTATGCACATGTAATCCTAATTTTCAGGGCAGTACGTGAACTAACATTTGTTGAACAGTCACCAAAAGCCAGATACTAAAGTGAGTGCTTTAAATATAGTACTTCATTCATTTATTTAAAGAACATTCGTAAGATGTAGGTGGTGATCGCAGCATTTTACAGATGAGTGGCAGCTGCTATAATGGGAAGATCTCAGCTCAAGCCAGGTCCTATTATTGAGTAGCTGTATGACCTTGTATGAGTTACTTACATCTGAGGCTTAGTTTCCTCATCTGTAAAATGGAAATAGTAAAGCCTACCTTATAACAATCTTGTGAGGATTAAAGAGATTTTTAGTTAGAAAAAGGTTACTATGATGGGTGGCTTGCTCAGGTTGGATACTCAATAAATGTTGGTAATGAGGGACAAATTCAGAAAGGTTAAAGAACTTGCCTCAGAGTCAAAGAACAGAAGTGGTAGAACTTACTATCTAATTGGGAAATTTGATAAGTTTAATGCCAATCCCAGGTGGCCCTATCAAATATTCAAATCTAAGAAATCCTCATGGACAAAGACAGGGGAACTAGGTCTCAAAAGACAAATAGGATTGGTTTAGGATAGTGCCACTCAACTGAGAATTAAGCCCTAATACTCTAGGGCATGCATTGTATATAATGAATTAGTTTTAGCTTTAGGTATAGATAACTACACCTCAAGTATAGATTACAGCAGAATTTTGAAAAGCTTTTGAGTGCCATGCTAAAGAATAGTTCTTAGGTAGCCATAGACATCTAGTAGTTACGTATTTGAAGACATGACTATTTGTTAAATATAGCACTTAGCACCATAAATGTAATCTAGGACTATAAGAAATATGTGAATCCATAAAAGCATAGATTGATTTATTTAAAATGTGTTCAGTGTGAAGGTTACCGTCTTATCAGTTTAGAGCTATGAGATGCTTTTATCAAGTAGTTGAGAAATTCTAAGTTAAAAGATTATCAAAACATACTCTGTTCATAAAGTTGGAAAATCTCTGGAAAAATGCACTGGCCCTTACGGTTTTATTTGCTTTTATAGGATCTAAGGAAAGCTGGATTGCTGATTTTTGCTAATAAACAAGATGTTAAAGAATGCATGACTGTAGCAGAAATCTCCCAGTTTCTGAAACTAACTTCCATTAAAGATCATCAATGGCATATCCAGGCATGCTGTGCTCTTACTGGCGAGGGGTAAGAAGTCTTCCTCATGGATAATGTGTCTTCCTCATGGAATACAAGTTTCTGCTTAAAATTAAATGTTGAGGTTACCGTGTACAGAATGTTATAAAGGAGAGATGTAAGATATACACGATATCTACAATGAGACAGTTTTTAATTAGGTTCTGTAAAGAATAAAACACACGACATACACATAAACATACTGAACTAGTATGTGAGCATGTAGACAATAGTTGATGTAGGAAGTCAGAGAAATTAGAATGTCATGGAGATCAGGAGAGGTCAGAAACAGCTCTTATGGTGGTGGGGCTTTCACTCTAAGAAGGGAACTAACAGTTGCTGAGTCTGTCCTGTGTCTTGAGTGTTTTCTTTACAGTGTATCATATATTCCTAATAATCCTGTAGACCAATTGTTTTTAATTCACACTTTATGCATAAAGAAGTTGAAATAGGAGAGGATTCATGTGTGAGACTAGTTTGGATATACTCACTTTGCCACTGGTCTTGTCAGGAGTGTGTTGTTGCACTTGAAAAAAAGAGTTAGAATTGGTGAGTGTGGCATGAGGATCCTTGGTTCTGGAAAGAAACATAGGTGCCTGTAGTAGAATTTTGCCTTAGTCTAATCCCAGAGATGAAAGGATTTCAAGAAGGAAGTGGTTGTCCGCATTGTTAAATGTAAGGTCAGTGACCAGAAAGATGGAGAGAGCGTAATTAGAAGAGATGGAATAGAAGTTAGAAATAGGATAAAAAGATAAAAGGCTGAGCAGGCTAAATAATGTTTTTTTGAAGGTTATTATCCAAAATGTGATAGATCTGCATGTATTTAAAAGCAAAGAAAAAAAGAATTAAATTTTGGATGAAGGATTCTAGAATTCTTAAATTTGGATTTGTGGTTCCTTGGGTGTTAGGAAAGGGCAGAAGCTTGGAGTACTGATACAGTTTCAATGACTCACTGATTCACCTTTTACCATGGTTTTGAAAGGAAGCGAATTTCTCCCATGTCATCTAACTCATCTATTTATGCCCCAAGCTTCTGCCCGTTCCTAACCCCAGAAGAAGAACCTTACCCCAAAATTAAGACCTCTCTTTAGAATCTCTTATGTATGTACCTTTTAAAAACAAAGAAAAAAAATTAAATTGGAGATGAAGTTGAAACTTAGTGAAATAGAAGACACTATTACCTAATTAAAGACATTTGGAGAGCTTAATTAGAACCTCTAAAAGGCAAATCTGTTCATGTAAAGAAAAAAAAATCACAGATAATACCAATTGTCCACATATTCATTAAGTGAAAATGTCACGTTTCTTTGTTAATATATGTCAAGATATATATATATATATCTCTATATATATATCTCTTTATACATATTATCTTTATGAAAGGACTTTAAGCAGAAGCACTTACTGTATTACTAAATTTGACAACAAAAACAAATCATCTAGGACTGATAAAATATTTAACTTACTTTGAGAAATTGTGTAGAGAATATATCATTGGTTAGAATGGATGTGAACTCTGGCAGTTTCATTTTTGAAGGAGGACATCAATAGCTGTTGGTATCTTTTCAATTTTTGGTGTACGTGAGCTTCCATTTGCAGCAGTCAGCAAGTGGAAATATCTGATTCTGGAGGACATGTTTCCCTTCGGTAGTCTGGCCACCTCAGTCTAAATTCTTGGTTTTAGCACTGGTCGGCATTTTGACTCTCATCTCTGTCATTTGCTAACCTCCCTGTAAGCCCAGGATTCCTCTCCTGTGGGAACGGTTCTAATCTCAGTATTGGGAAGAAATATTAAGATAATGGCTATTAAGTGCATAGCACCATATGGGCCAACACCAAAACAATCATTTATTTACCCCTTTATCTTTTTTCTAATTCTATCTTTTATATTGTTAAACTCATACTTACACAAAAATCTGGGTTTTTGTAGTTCCTTATATCTGTAAAAGTGCCTCATAGGTTGTAGTTAATGTTTCATAACACTTGTTTGCTTTGTGCAACATGATACAACCATTTCCCTCTTGCTAAACATTTATTTTCCTTTAACACAATGAATGTCTCTTTATATATTTTAGATTATGCTCAATTACCTGTTGTCCAGCAAAAACTGATGTTAGCAATATGAGATTTTACTTTCTTTAAAAAATTTTAACATATAGATGTAGCAGACATATTATGTATATACTTCGTTGTAACAGCTCTACTATATATTTAATATCCTGCCATTTTTATTTATTTAGATCATGGGCATTTTATCATATTGTAAAATAGTCTTTGAAAGGAAGTTTTTAATATTTCATCATACGGATGTTCCATAATTTGTTAAATTTTTTTCTATTTCTAGACATTTAAATTCTACTTTTTCCTATTAAAAATGCTTTGATGAACAGTCTCATACATAAATCCATCTTTATGCCTTTTTTTTAGGATATATTTCTAGAAGTAGAAAAGGTAGAGAGAATATTGATATTTTAAATACCAATATGTATTGGTAAATTACTTTCCATGGGCACTTAATATAGTCACTGAGCTTTTATGTGTCAGTGTTCTAGGCATTAGAGACAAAACAGACAAAAAAGCACAGATGTACTATGTGTGGGAGTGCAGCTTCACCACAACAGGGTGAACATTGTACATTACTGATTTTTTACTCTTTGCTGTTTTGGTGAATGAAAAATATCTTGTTTTAGTTTTCTGTTTATAGCTTTTCAGTTGAGAATTTAATCAAATTATTTTATCTTCTACATAGATTATGCCAAGGACTTGAGTGGATGATGTCACGACTTAAGATTAGATGATCTCTACTGACCTCTTCTCACAGACTTTGTGTAACGAAGTGCTGGACTTTACCTGAAAGCTGCAAAAATTAATGGTTCAGATATATTTATAGCAAACTGATTTAAACTTTTTCTATAAGAAGAAAAATTAAGACCACTTATTTGAAAATGAAGATGAAGTCTCACCTTCCTATTGCTTTCTCATTAGTTTTCTTCCAAAGCAAGGTCTTAAAGCTGTGATCAACATTTTTCTCATAATGAATCCTCTCAGGACGTTGTGTAGCCTGTGGTAAGTAGAAAGGGAGAGGAAGACATTTTTAACTTTAAGAGCTTTATTCTCAGTATAACCCTTCTTAGTTGAATGTTGTTCTCTTCTTGTTCCATTAAGTCAAAGTACAAATCAGCACAGATATTCAGTTTCCAATATTTTAAAATGTAATGTTACTTATGAAAAGTATTTTTTCATAATCTTGTGTATGTATCGTATATATATATACCTCAACTTCAGGTTAATGGTTTTGATTTATGTTCTAAAGAAAAGTGAATAACAAAAATTAATAAGATTCTTAATTATAACAATGAGATGAGTGCTGGCATTGGTTTAAGTGCCAATCTGTACTTTTCCCCTATGTACTCTGTATTGTACTAACCCTAACCCAAAAATCATTGAGCTGCTCTTTAAAAAAAAAAGAAAAAACGTTTGACATTGTGGACGTATTTTTTTTCTTGTTGTTGATCAAATTGCATACATGGAAACATGTAATCCAAGGAGTACTATATCTATCAAATTCTTGGCTTAGTATTACCAATGGGAACAGTTGCACATTGAGCAGTTCCCTTTATTAGACCTTATGCCATCTAAATTACTGAGTAAATTATTAATCCATTAATCAGTCGTTCGTTGTGATTAAAATTACCAATGACTTTATTTCAGTGTTAATTGAGAACTGTTGTGTGAAATCTCTATCCAGAGAAGTGTTGCCTTATAAATACAATTAAATAATTTACCTAGATTCTTCTAAATTATATGTCAGGCATTTAAAGTGAACTTGAAATGAGAAGTTAAACATATTTCCAAACAACAGAATAATTTATTACTTTGAAAAATGTTCATTTCTTAACTCTTGAAGTAGTTTGAGATTTTTCATTTCTGTTTTCTTTTATCGCATACCATGTGAATGTATTGTTTGATAATTATAAAATACAAATTTTTTTAACGCTTTTAAGAATTTGGTTTAAAAGTTGATCAGCAAAATGCATTATTTTTCTGAAGAATTAACTTGACCCAAAAGACCTTCTATGTTCATGTAAGTTTTTTTTTCCCCAATATCTGAAACTCAAAGGTATTTCTGTTGTGACTGTAAACAAACTTACCTAACTAAATGTATTAAAACATATTCTTGGGTATATATAGGGTACTCATTCCTAGAAAACCTGAATGCTAGCCCAAACTGGCATGTTTTAGAATATTCAAGAAAAAAATAATTACTTTTATTGTAATACCAGCCGTTTAGATTTCATGAAGATTTTAATGAGGAATCGTAATATATACTATAAGCATTGACAAAACTTTAAAAGTTCCTTTCTACCAAATTAAAGTACTTAATATCTAAGGCTAAGTCGAGCATGGAAGATCAGTGTTTAAACATTGGGTGTTTATGTTATAGTATAATGTTCAAAATGCAAGCATAACTTTTTTTTTTTGGTCAACTTCTATAAAAGTAAATCCTAAATTACTAGGCTTTACTTGTTCATATATTCTCATACTTTTTTCAAATCACTATAAGGAATTATTATATATTAAAAACTACCTTAAAAACCCAAATGTATGTTGTAGGTATTGCAGTTTCATTAAAGAAAAATAGTCTGTACGGTAGCCAAGCAAATCCACATCTTTTATCCTTTCTGTTTTTTTAGTTTGAATAATCTCAGTTCAGTCTATTGGATTGCTGCTACATCAGTTCAACAATACACCAGCACATTCCCTTGTCATCAGTGTGGTGGCTAAAATTAATTCTAATTGGAAGTTTAAAGTGTATACTACATTGTTGCAGTTGGTTGTAGTGTAGTAGATTATCGACATAGCATCATGAGAAGGCATGAAATCTTATACCACATTTGCAAAGCATGATTTTTTTTTTTTTTTGGTTATATTCCATTGTGTTACTTATATACTTATGCATACAACCAAAATTACAATCAGGAAAATTATTTAAGTTTGTGTATGAAAATGCATCAAAATCATTTTAACAGTGTTACTTCCAAATAAGATGGAGAGCCTCATGAATAGTCATATTGGCAATTTATATGTAGCTTAAGTGGACTTAAGCAAAGGGCAATACTTTTGGTTTTTTAATATGCTACTTTTGGATGTAAACAAAACATCTTATTTGGGGTCAGGCTCAACTTTGAAAAGAACCAAGTTTCATATCTCTGTACATGCGGCTGGATTTAAATATCTGGTGTTTGATACTAATTTTGAAAATTGTATAACTTCTCTTGATATCTTGGTGAAAGTAACCATATGCTATCTAAGCATTTAAATATGTTGAATTTTGTCATAATAGCATTTATAAAATATGTCTTACACAGCATGTTGAGGATTCTTGTTTGAAATTTTCAGTTCTTTCTATTTTCTTTGGCTCTCACGATGGGCAAAGAATACAGTGAAGGCAGGGAGTTTGAGTGAGAGGGGAAAGTCGGTAGGGAATTATGATATTTTGCCTTAAGAATAAAAAAGTGCTTTAAGCACTACTGATTGGCATTTTTAATGCAGGTAGTTAAAGTGGTTTTTAGAAGTGTGGCATGAAGCAGAAGAGTTTCTGTTTTCTGGCTTTAAGAAGTGCCTAGTAGGTGGTTACAGTGAGATCATAGAGAAGGACAGGGCACCTGAGGAGAGTCAGGTAGTCCCAGAAATGTTCTTTTTTGGCTGAGTGTATAGTATTAAGATGCCTAGAAATGGGATTCTATTATACCCTCTCTTATAGGCACTTTACATTTATTGCTGTGACTACAGCAACCACATGAGTACAGGCAACCTCAAAATCTGTTTATATTAGTGTAAATAGAAAACTGTAGACAATTTTCTAGTTTTCTCTGCAGGCATTTTTGGGAATATATCTGTAGTGTGTTCTACTTTGTATACAGGGGATAACAGCACATCCCAGATTATCTGTGGACTTTGGGGTCATCGTCTCTCAATTGCCCAGTTGTATCTTGGCATCAGTCCATCTTTCAGGGTTGGGTAGAGACAGAATTTCTTTGCATGACTTGACTTTCATCCCTCCCACTGTCTAAATATAATCCGGAACTTCTTGCCTCAGGATCAGCTTTCCCATAGCTCAGCCATCCCTTGCTCTCCTGTATCTTTATTCACCAACCGTGAAGATATGTTATCTCTGTCCTGGAGGTATTCTAAACTGTGCCTGTATCTACTGTTCCCCAAACCACTGGTTTTTAAGTAGGTTTGCTAGTTCTTTGCTGTCTTCCCACCACGGACTTGATTCATTGATTTGTACTTTGCTCATTAGAGAGTATGGTCAGAGTTGTTGACTACATCAAGACTGGCTTGCTGTGTATGCAGCATACAGATACCATAGAGTTCTTTAAATTCTACTGTATTTACCATATTAATGCCTCTTAATTTTAGCTTTTCATGCTGAAAAGCAGATTCAGAAAGATAAGAAAACAATCTAAACTCTGCCAGCTCCTTCAGCTAAAAAGTTAAGATATGGAAAGAATTACATTATATGAGTATTATCTTCCCGTTTCCAAGTTTCCAAAAATTGGTTACACTTTGGAGGGTACCAGTACAAATAATCTCAGTTGAAGAAAGGTGTCAAACCAAATTTATATATAGTACCTAACCTGAAGTCATATTTACCTCCTTAAAACCATAGACCACATTCCATTTTTTTTCCTTGTGTTTACTTAAAGAAAAAAGATAAACATTAGTTTTCTAAAGGAATTAGTAATGAAAAGTGTATCTTTACAAAATAAACCTGTTGAAATGGGCTTTGAAAGATAATAAAAACAAAAAAACTGTCTTGTGCGGACTCTGTAGATGCAGACATAATATAGAAAATACTTAAGTTCCACTTACACAAAAATAAAGCTTCGATGTCATGCTCCCTCAAAGAATGTATGATAACTTTAAGATCATAATGGTGGAGCGCAGCCAAGACGGGCGATTTAAAAACTTTGGATGCTAAAAAGTAACTACTTCTATTAAATCCTAAAATGGTGTGTGGAATTGTAAAGAAGTTGTACCAGGATGCAATTGGGTTAATTATGCAATATTTCTTATCTAGCCCTGTATACTCTAAAAACTAAAGCTTCAGTCTTTATGCCCTTGCCTGCTGGATAGTTCTTTGGTAGAAAAATCCCATGGTCTGTACTCAAGAAGTGCCTAAAATTGATTGATGTTGATTTGTAAGTCCTCTAATAAATTATATGTGTATTCTATGGTATTATATGTGCTTGTCTTACTGATGACACAGCCCTGTGAGTTTCTAACTCTCAGTTTGTGCTTTTTTTGAGTAAAAGGCCTTGAAATTGAAAATACCTATCATAACCCTGAACAAACCAGTTTAAGGAAACACGAGTGAAACCATTTTCTCTTTTTCCTAACGCAAATATTCTCTGACCCTGATGTTAGTCAATGCAGGGATGAGGAAGCTGAACTCTGTTTCTGTTTTAAAAAATAGTTTTAACAAATAGTTTTAACACGCTGAAAATTATATCGTATGTTGTAAAATCTTAGTAAAACTTTGTTGCTTGTGTAAGTATAGCCTCTAAATTCTCGTACTTAGTGGTTAGGAATTTTGAGTCAAACTTGTCATTTAGATTTTGAGACATCTTGTGTGTGCATGCCAAAATCCTTCCTCTTTGTTTAGAATCCACTTAGAAACCAAAATATTTCATACAACCTTTTATGTTTTTTATATATTGTTTCTGTTTCTTTTTTCTTTCTTTTCTTTTTTTTTTTTAACCACAGAGCGTGACTGTAAACTCTTAAGGGCAAAGGCTTGGCTGTATTTTCAGTGACTTACAATTACATTATGTTCATATTTTAAATCAGCCTGCATGGAAAAATGCAATGTGTATGTGATTTTAAATTATTGTAACATATACTCTTCCCCAAAACTTCTCACATTGATGATATGCAGAATTCCTCTGGTTATTTTTGCTTGAAACTATTTCTTTAGGTTAAAATAGCCTTTTCTTACATTAGCCCCTGTATGGTTCCTTGAGATGAGGTAATACCTGCAAAGTACTTCTAAAGATATTTTCTGGGTTAATGTTCAAGATAACACACTGAAGAAGAAGCTGCAATTATGTCTAGTGAGGGCTTCTTTTGGTTGTTAGAGATGAAAAAATGTATACTAATTTGATTTGTACTTAAAATATATTTTACTCATTATATTGATTTTAAATATGACAAATTCGTGTAGGTATTAATCTTCCTTGCTTATTGTATTTTCCTAGTGAAATCTAGATGAAAATGTATTCTAACTAGCTTTTGTGTAACTTCTCCAGAGATGAGCTCTATGTATATTGACATAATTAAAACAACATTTAATACAACAAAGTAGGAACCCTTTTGAAAATTTTTAGATTTGTTGTATTGGAATTTCTAATATGATAAAAGGTTTTGATTCAAGCTTTGTAAGCAAGATGAGGCAGAAAATTTATCTTAGCTCTTTATCATTTTATGAACTTGTATTTCTCTGTATGCTGGGAAGGTTTTACACTCAAGGAATATTGCTAAAGTGACGACCTAAGAATACTTGGGTACTTCCATACTTCATCAGTGCTGATATGTTAGATACCTAGGGATATAATGCTTCAGGGCCTTCTTGATAAGACAACTTCATGGGTGATAGGGGGACATTTGTGTTTGTTCTCAGGGTGGGAGGGAGTGGCAGATTGGAGTAGGGACCTCTCCGTTGGTACAGCAGTACAATCAGTTCTTTGCAAATGCGTTACTTCATTATGCTTGTAACAACGTTCTTGTGTCCATCCATAACTTACTGAAATGTTAAGCTACAGAAATGTAAGGCGTTGGGTCAGTTGGCCAGTAGTTTATAATGAAATAAAGGAATAATGTCAAGATATGTTTGGGTAGGGGGGTAGATGACAAGTAAGATTATACTGGTGAATTTCTTTGTGTAATATGTACATTAACTTTTTTTTAAGTTGCATGTTAACCTGGGATAAAGTGTTGTCTCTACTTTATGCTTTACTGAGTAAAAAGAAAAAAATGAGTTAAATTGTTACCCTGTTATGTACTATTACATATACCTTTTCTTTTAGAAAGGGCTAATTATAATTATTATTCACACGTCTATGTTGTCAGTGTTTTTATTCTGGCTTATTCTTTGAGTGTGTGCAGACTTGGTGACGTTAGTTCTATTGTATTAACTGTTCAGGGCTGGGAACTGCCAGGCACTTGCAAAGGTATGACAGTTGCATTATGCGAATGCAAAAAAGGATCGTTCTCATCTTCTCTAGGAACAGTTTATGTAACTTAGTCAATTAATAGAAGAGTATTCTTTTACATAGGGAAATTTGAATTAGACGTGAATTTGATATATAGGGACCAGTTTGTGTGATTAATTTATTTGTCTTAAAAAGTGAGGAAAGTTGAGTCATTTAAAGTGAATATTATTAAAATGAACATTCCTAAGAATGGTTGATAGTAAACAAAAGAAAAATGAGAGGAAAAGGTTGGGGAGAGGGAGTCATCCACTTGCATATCCTTGTTTGAATATTGGTATTTCTCACTTCCACTAGAATGTAAGCTCTGGGATGCCAGTGGCCGTAACTGTTGTATGTACCAGTTTGTATCTCTCAGTGCTGAGTGCAGTGCCTACTCCGTAGCAGGTGTTCAATTTTTATGTTTGGACAAATGAATAAATGAACTATTCATATTTTTGTGGGGTTTCTCCCTGTGGATATGTTTTTTCCCACCTATGTGATTATAGCATACTGCCACATTTAATTCTTAATTTGTGTTTAATTCTGCCTTATTTTAAAAGGGATTCAAGGTGATTATTTGTTTTGCTCACTAATTCTTATAGTAGAAATCAGACTTATTTCCTTAAAAATGGCCTGACAACATTGTGCAGTACAAATAAATATGTACACATTTTATTTCTTTGAATTCTGCATGGGTCTGCATCTAGGAATACCAGGGATATACCACAGTTTGTTGTAACCACCTGCAGACATTGAAATAGCAAATGGAATAACAGCTCTTTTTGAAAAAGATCTATGTCATCTTGTTGGTCCTTTATGCCCTTCTTTTTTTTTTAGTTTATGCATCTGGAATATCCCCAATTTGCTAATAAATAACCTTTGTCCCATGAAAAGAATGAGATTTTTATAACGTAAAATAGTCTCTGGTAGTCCTCTTGAAAATGTTTCTTACGGCTGGTACCAACCTTTTGAGATACCATGAGTTGGACTGAGTGACCAGTTATTCACATTACTACATGCCTCACATTCTAGCAGAATCATTCTGTATCAAAGTGGATTGAATCTTTTTGAAATACTTTCAGTGTTTGTATGCTTATTGTATTTACACTCCAAAATAATAATCTGCCACATTTCCATTTTTTTTTTGTACAGTCTCTTAACTTACAATGGTTCAACTTAACGATTTTTCAACTTTACAATGGTGTAAAAGCAATATGTGTTCAGTGGAAACTGGCTAGGCTAAGCTATGGTTGGGTTGGTTAGGTGTATTAAATGCATTTTTGACTTGAGGTATTTTTGGTTTACAATGGCTGTATGAGGACCTAAAGCCATCATAAATCAAAAAGCATCTGTACAAAGAACATTGTGATGGACATCCTTCACTGAAAGCTTTTTTCATGGTTAGAAGCATTTCTTTTGGCTAAAATCCCAGAAATGAAATGACTGGTATTGCACTTAAGAATGCGTATTCTTCCATGTTTCATTAATGTTGTATTTTTTTAAACAGAATACCTTTTCACTTCAGTAAGTGAATAAGCATGTTGTCTTACTTTACACTTACTTGACTAAGACTATTTTTCTGTATGTTTTAATTTCCTCTTAACTTTTTATTTTGTTCATTTATTTGAATCCTATTATTTTTCTAGGTAATGAATCATTCTTTAATATTAACCCTTGGTCATGTTTTTGCAGACTTTCTAGTTTCCCCTTCAATTTTTATAATTTTTTAGCACAGACAAGTTTTTATTAGTATAAAAAATTACAGAAGAAATATGTGATTTCTTTGAGTGAAAACCAGAAAAGAGATACAATAAGCAAAAACAAAAGTCCAATTGTTCAATGTCCCATCATCCTAAATAAACTAGTATCGACAGTTTGGGATGGATGGAGATATGTATACATATATATATGACAAATTACATATATATATATAATGTTTATATATGTGTGTGTATATATATATTTGAGTCAATGTTTTGAATGTAGAATTCTAAGAATACCTTAATTTTTTTACCACAATAAGCTATAAATATTTTTACATATAAAACATTTTAATGGATATATAGTGTTTGCTCTTTGAACTGTTATAACTTATTTAACCAGTCTCCTGTTGATGTCCATTAAGTTGTTCCTCATTTTTCACCATTAAAAACAGTAGTGCAATTAGTACTCAAATTTATTGTTCACTCAGTTTACAAGTTGAATTGCTACATCAACGTGTATGGATTTACAAGAGGCATTATTGGCATTGCCCATTGTCTTCCCAAAAGATTACCCACATCTTGGTCAATTCGTTACTAGTTTCAACATTACAGATTTTTGGTCATTAGTATTGATTAAATTTTCTACCTCTTTTGCACATTTTGCTGCTGGCTTTTTGAACATGCTTTTAAAGAATATTAATCTTTTGCCATTGTCAATATTTTTTATCATTTTATGGTATTTTAAGTTGGTCTCAGCAGAATTTAAAATTTTAGTTGGATATAGTAGGCTTTCTTTATGGTTTGTGCCACTTTTTCAAAATTTTTGCGATGGAGAAGATGAAAAATTACCATAATTGTTGTAGGATATTTTTATTCATACCCTGAGTGGATGATAGTGATTTTCTCTTTATTTCTCCCCTCCCCCAAATAAAATGTTTTCAGTTAGTATGATAAAATCAATAAAGAGGATATGATTGGGTACTGGAATATGTGCCCTGCATTTTAAGTGTTTTTAAGAGTTTGCCTTTGCAGAACCCTCCTCAAGCCACATATTGAATACACTCTAAAGGTAAGAAACATTAAAGTCCTGTGTTAATTCATTAAAAAAATATATATCCACTGTCTGTCCATCAATATTAAGGGCTTTGTTAAATTAGAAGACAGAACATCCTGCCATTAAATTTTTTTTACAAGCAGATTGTAATAACATGGGGAAATGATCGATAATTGTGATGTTAGGTGGGGGAAAAGGTACAAACTTTTACATCTAGTATAATCTCAACTGTGTTTGCGGGAAAAGCATTTAGAAATAGGAAGACATATGTCATAACATTTTATGCTATGGGTTGTTGTAAACATGTTGATATTTTTCTTATTCATGTTTCTGTGTTTTTCAAATATTCTACATTGAACACATTCCATTAATAATTAGAGAATAATATTCCATCATTTTTGTTTTTAAAGAATCTTAATGGGGGTGGGAAAGAATACAAAAAATTTATAAGTAGAAATAGGTAGCTCTGTCTTTGTTTTTTATTTTTTTTTCTTCATCTAGCACTGCATTTGGGGGCACTATGAAGAAAGACGAAGATGATTTGTAAAGATTGAGGCAGTACCATTTGCAACCTCCAGTAAAAATTTCAATGATTCTACCACTTGATATTTTACCATCACTTGATACTTTACCACTTCTAAAAGATTCTTGAGCAAAAATAATCTCCATTCAGGTGGTTATTTTAAAAATATATAAGGAGAATGCAGTGCGAGTTCAAAAACGGGGTATTTCCAGTGGGAGATTCAGGAAGGCTTGTATATGAGGTAACAGTAAACCAAACACTGGATGAGAGACAGCCTGGGTTATAAACTCAGGTCAGCCTTGAGTGTATGCGAGGTTTTGTTCAAATTTTCCGTGCTTTTAAGACCTCAACTTCTTCATTTTTCTAAATATTTTTAGCAATGAAACTTTTTTCTCATAAGTGATAGTCTCTTGAACCTGTACGTGCAACAAAAACATAATGTTTTATCTCTCTGTATTTTCTGTAATTGTTCATACTGTGTGAAAACAAGGGCAATTAAAATTAAATTTAACTTAAAATTTACATTGCTTTTTTTTAAAAAGATTTTATTTATTTATTTATTTTTAGAGAGAGGAAAAGGGAGGGAGAAAGAGAAGGGAGAGAAACATTAATGCATGGTTGCCTCTTGCACATCCCCAAGTGGGGACTCGGCCTGCCACCCAGGCATATGTTCTGACTGGGAATCGAACCAGCGACCCTTTGGTTCACAAGGCGGTATCAGTCCGCTGAGCCATACCAGTCAGGGCTTTACATTGATTTTTAAATTTAATGTGTGTTTGCTTTTTAAAATTGGGAAAATAATTGACAAAAAATGGAAAATATTGATTTACCTAGAAAGAAATGATGACTTCAAAATATTTAATAATCTTATTGTACATATAATGGTATTAACATTTGGCTTCATTTTAATAAGAATTAAATATATTTTAAAGAGAGTATAGTCATTTTTTAAAAAAAATGTAAAATCTTATTCCAGATTATAAAATCTGCTTAATTTTAATTTGGCTTTCATTTTGATAAATGAAAGCCAAAATAAAATTATTTATAGTTATTTATTTATAACTATTTATAGTTTAATGAACTACTTTATTAATATATTTGCCAGATGAGGACATTAATAAAAGATGACATAAATTTATACATTTTTATGGTGAACATGGCTCTAGACTATTTTATTTTAATATTATCATTTAATTAAATAGCAAAGTCATTTTATTCAGACAAAATCATTTGCTATGCCTAACATGAATATGAGCTCATTCATGAAAAAAACAAAGTTGACATATTAGTAAGTCAGAAGGAAATTACACTAAATGGTTAACAGTGGCTTTCTCCGGGAAATGGGATTGTAGAAATACAAAGTCTAACTTTTATACCAATTATCAAAATGACTTAGTTATAACTTAAATTTTTATTATTTTTATTTAATAATCATTAAATTGTTAGAGTATCAAATTAATTATAATTAGGATGTTAGTCATAATTTTGATGTTAAGTTGGAGCAGAGAAGTATAAGAAATATATCTAATGAATAAAATTTTCTAGTCTAACAGTATCAGAAATAGTTAAAATTAACATGCTGTTTGAATATTAGAAAACAAGCTAATACTTTAAATATTAGTAATAAATGTATTAAAACAAGTTTTACTTTAAAAGTTGACTCAGGTCATTCATGCTAAACTTTTTATTGATTTGAATTGCCAACAGATAGAATGTAAACAAGTATATATTCTGTCACTGCTATGTGGAGCCAAATGCAGCGATTGTGGTCTTATTCAAGGACAGAGCTCTGATGACATCATGTCCACAGTCAGTACAGTGCTGCAGCTGGCTCTGTCAGTCTAGGGAGAGAGTGCGCTTTAAAAAAGACTATGAAGTAATTTGCAATTCTGGGGCAGTATTTTAAAGGAAATGAGCAAATGAGCTGGAAGTCTACTCATTAAAGTCAAAGGGAA